ACATTGCTCTGGGTCCTGCTTATATGATGCAACGTCTGCGGTTGCTTTTATCACATCATCTTTTGTCCAGGTTCTATATACTTTTATAGTGAGTGGTGCCTTTGGATCATTTGGATCTCGTGCAGGATCAGCCACTTGTATCATGGGAAAGGCGTCTGCAATGTTATCATCAAAATTTGGTATTTCTGGTGGAGATGGGCTTAAAACATGTCCTAATGATGTGCTCCAGTTTTGGTTCAGTGTTTTCTTTGATCTGGTATTTTCAGCTATTAAATTTGTAGGCTCTGGTTTTGGTTTGTCCACGGGTTTTAAATTTGGATACAAAGGTTGGTATGGAGGGGAGGGTTGAGAACGTGTCCTACGTTCTTCTGTATTTGCATTATCTGAAAGTGGAGTTGCTGTATCAGCACATGTTATATCTCCTTTTATCTCAGCATCATCTAAAAGTGGAGACGTTTTATCAGCACACTCTCAGTTCTTATGTATGTTTGATGCTATTGTTTCATTGTCCTCAGGTCTGACATACATAGTTTTGTTTTTGCTCACGTTTGATTGTAGGTTTTTGTTTTAACACATTGCTTCTGTTTTTAGTTGTTTCAGGTCTATTCCATTTTTTCTTGCACAAGCTTGTTTAAGTCAACATTCAGCTGCACTCAGCCCAAGCTTCTCTTCTTTTTTTTTTTTTTATCTTTTGCCTCTTTTTTTATGGCAAGCACAAGGTCTTTGCAGTCTTCTTGGTTCAATTTTCCCTCAAAACCATACCTTTCTTTTCCCCAATTATTTAAATGTTTACAGGACTCTGAATTGTACCTAAACATGTACTTAATTTCCTCTTTAAACGCCGGAGTATTTTTGTTACATAAATTTTCTTATTTTGATTTCTTATTTTATTCAATTTTTTAATTTTTAAATTTTTTATTTTACACTGCGCAAAAAACCCTCCCTTTTAATATCCTTTCTGATCACATCAGCAACTGCCTCAATTAAATCATTCTGTTTCCTGTTTGGTGGTGCTTTGGCCCAGAGGCAATGTCTCTGTCATTGGTGTGGAACCCCAGGGTTCACCTCCTGGACAAGTTCGAATCCCGGTTAGGGCGGTTAATACCTTCCAGTGGACTCACCACCCGCAGGAAGGTTTGTGGGGTTGGTATGGTGCAATGTGATTTGGGTAGCGACTGCTGTCCCCGCAACCCGGTAACGGATAAGCGGATGAAAATGGATGGATGGATGGACACATTCACTGTTTTTTTAGGCCTTTGGGATCCTGCTGCCCAGGGACTCAAACCCATTTTTCAACCACACGCTGGTAATAAAAAGTTGTTTCTCACCCTTGTCGTCGCTCTTATTCTGGTATCAGATGCCGTCAATCAGCAGCCTAGGATCAGGTGTCGGAGTACTGGCCTGAGTGAGAATTCACTCCCCAGGTCTTTCCCCAGAATCTGGTTCTGGCCGTGCACGGTTTTCAGTCGTTCTCCACCCGATCCTTAGGTTCTGTTTAATTTGTTTGCATCCGGCTCGAAGGACCAAGTTATGTTAGGTTTATTCTAACATATGTGACGACAAAGTAACAACACAAAAGACGTCTGGATCTTTTACTTGCAAGGAGTACAGCTTGCTCTTCTGGCAGCTTCCTCATCAACTCCGAGTTGCTGCACCCTTCCTCTGCTCTTTCATTTAGTTTACAAAAGTATCAGATTACATATCATGTGATCGTGTGTGAGTATATGAATGGGTATGGAGTAAGAAGGTGGGTGTGAATGTGGGTGTGGCTGTGTCTGGTAATTTCTCCATCAGTCTTGAGCACACTAGATTATAATATGAGAAGCAAACAGGTTCTTAAAGCAACAGTACAGCATGAAGCAATGATAATAAACCGAATAATTTGCTGCTACTCACTTACAAACATCTGATATTGGCACGAAATTGATCGAACGCATTCCATCCGTAAGAGACAGAAACGTGTGTGTCGAAACGTGCGGGCTGACGCAGGTGTGTATTTGTCACTCAGGTGGTGTCCTTGTAGTAAAGTATGTACATATGTGTTCCTGTGGTCAGCAAGTGGGGCAGATGGGGGGGGGG